GGCCCCTGGCTGTGCAGGCTGACGCTCTAACCACTGAGAAAACAGATCTGGGCTCCATGTGATTCACGTTGATTCAGAGTTCCCAGAGAGCCTCTATTTTTTGCCCAAAACCTATCACTTCAGGAGCTGCACCTAGTCAAGCCCTGCAGGGAGACAAAGAGCTGAGGACAGCACAGCCGGTGTCGCTCATTGGGTTGAGCAGCGACCCATCCACAAAGAGGTCACCAGTTCCATTCCTGGTCAGGACCCAGGCCCAAGTTGCAGGCTTGATTCCCAGTAGGAGGTGTGTAGAGACAGCCAACCAATGAATCTCTCTCATCACTGATGTTTCTATCTCTCTCACTTCCTCTCTGGAATCTATAAAAGTCATTTAAATAAGTAAATAAATAGATAGCTGAGGACAAAGGGAGGAGGCAGCTGAGCCCCAAGGTCCGGGGCCTGATGCCACAGGGGTGGGTGCTCCCTCCAGGCAGGGGAGCTCTCCCTCTGCCCCCCTACCTCCAGCTCCCGCCTGTGCACCAACACCTCCACACGCTTCTACTCTGGGCTTCCCCCTGTGCTGGGCCCAAGGGTGACACAACTCTGCGGGAAGAAGGGGAGAGGGCACCGAGGCAGAGGTGCGGGAGACACGGGATGAGCCCTCCTCAGAGGCACAGCAGGAGGGACAGGCTGACCCTGGAGGCTGGGCTGACACTGGGCTGGTGGGCCCAGGCCCTGGGACACTGTGACTGCTTTCTTATGTGGGGCTCCAAGCTGCCAATCACAGCAGAGTCCGTCCTCCCTGACTCTGGGCAACGCCACAGCAGCTGGGGGCCAAGGGACATTGCTCAGAGGACACCCGCGGGCATGGGACCATCTCCCTGAGTGTCCCGGGGCCCTGCCTGCTGTGCTCGCTCACCCTTTTGTACCGAATGTCCTGGAGCCCCTCCACTGCGACCCAGGCGTCCCCCTCCTTGACCTCCACCTCGTAGCACAGGTATGTTTGCTTCTCCCTTTTGTTTCGGAAGTTTCTCTTGAAGGTTGTTTGTTTCATCAGGGGTCTGTGGACACAGGCAGGAGAAAGCAAGGAATGGGGCTCCTCTGGGGATCACCCCGTTCTCCTCCCCTCTGCACCCACATCCCGGCTAGACCCACAGAGGATGGACGTCCACTCACTTCTCTGGGGACACCTAACCGCCCTCTCTGACCCCTTCGGGGGCTCCTGGGGAAGTCAGCCTGTCTCTTTTGTCAGGGTCCCCCCGGGAGCAGTGCACGGGCTCAGAGCTCTGAAGGGGCCTCTCCTGGCATCACCGTCCTGCCCTCGTCCTGCTGACCCAGCCCTGCCAGGTGCAGCCCAGTGGCGCTGTTTCCTCTGCTCTTCTGGGTTAACCTGAGCCACATGGTGCATCAGGGGAAAGGGTGGCCCCATCGGGGAAAAGAGATGCCAAACTAGTCTTCTCAAATAACTCATGACATTTCCCTTCTCATCATGAAAACAATCATGTCCTTTACAAAAACCAAAACATAGATCTGAATGTGACCTCCTAGGGCCTCAGTGCAGAGCAGAAAGAATAGAATTCCTGGGAGACAGAGAGAGAGAGGAGAAACAGGGAACCTCAAGGGTGACCCCCAGATTTTAGCCTGGGACCATGGGAGGCGGGTAGGACAGGCCAACAGGGTATCAGCTGAGGGGTCCTGGATATAGAAGGGCCATCAAGAGAGACGGAACAAGCAGGGGGTCCCCTGGGGAGAAGGCAAGTCCCTTCAGGGAGCCAGGAGGAGGGGATCAGAAGCAGGGCTGCTCCAGGGGCCAGTGGTACCTGCCACCACGTGCTGGGTTGTCCTCCATGTCTCAGCTCCTTCACTTCCTTGCTGGTCACGGCCCGTCCTCCGTCTGGGACGCTTTAAGGACTGAGGTGCCTTATATGCCATCAGAGCACCTGGAACCTGCTGAGCTGGCCCTGCTGCGCCCCACCCCTTCCCTAAACTCAAGACACTCATGCCAACCACATTGAGTCATAGGAGAGGGAACTTTTCTGCCCAAATGTCTCATCCTGTGCCCTCAGGGGCAAGTTAGGTTTTGATTTCTCTGTTCTGACAAAGGCCCTCCCTGGACTGACCTGGGCCAGTGAGGTCCTAGGAGGTGGGGTCACTCTGGGCAGCACGGCACAGCCAGGCAGGAGGCGAGAGCGCAGATAAGAGGACAGGCGCTCCTACCTGAGGAGGGTCCGGGTACGGAACACGGAACCCCCACAGGACAGGCCCCGGGTGCCCATCCCTGACTCTCCTGTAGCCGCCAGTGCAGGGCATGGCCGGGCCCAGTGCAGGGACCTGCGGGGCTGAGCCAGGAGGGAGACTCTGCCCTGAGGGGAAGGGCAGGGCAGGACCAACGTGAGCTGAGCTCTCCTTAGGAGCCACCCTGTAAGGGAAGGAACTGGACTCAGTGCCTTTGTCCACCCATTACACAGAGGAGAACAGAGAGGCTCCCAGCAGGGCTGGGCCAGGATGGCCTGGGAACAGAGGATGCAGGGTGTGCCCGCCTCAGGAAGGGGCACCGCTCGTCCTCTCCACCCCCAGCCTCGATGAACGGGGGAAATTGTGTTCCAGGCTCAAGTGTGACCTGAGCCCCAGCTGGTAGAGTTTGTCCCAGAGGGGATGCCCCTCTGTCCCACTGACTGTCCATCCGGCTCCTCTCAGACCACCCTGTGCCGGCCCCACGCTCCCTCCCAGGGGACGTGCCCAGCTCAGTGAGGGCAAGGCCAGCCCCATGGAGTCCGACCCTGGCCGCCCGCACTGAGGACCAGGCTGCTCCCTTTCAGGTCACCTGGTCACATCCTTCACGTGGCACCTGTAATACTGGGTCCCCCTCTTTCTGGGCTGGGCGCCCCTCCACATGAACAAACAGGTGTCCTCTGCACCGAGCCCCTCCCACCTGCTCTGTCCTTGGACCATGGTGGCCCTGGGAGCAGCCATGCTGTCTTTCTGGAGGCTCAGGGCTTTGCAGGCGTGGAACGCGGCCCCGGTCTGCCCTCCTGCAGGTGGCCTTCCGGCAGGAGGACAGGCTGAGGTGGGGAGCCCAGGGCTCAACCGAGTCCTCAGCTGTGAGCTACCCTCTCCGAAGTCTCATGGCCCCGTGTCAGGGGCAAAGCCCTGAGCCCGGGGTTCCGGGGCGACGGGGCCCTGGGAGTTGGGGGTCAGGTCTGCCTGGACCTGCATGTGACAGCG